TTCCTTCCTTCCTTCCTTCCTTCCTTCCTTCCTTCCTTCCTTCCTTCCTTCCTTCCTTCCTTCCTTCCTTCCTTCCTTCCTTCCTCTCTCCCATACATCCATCCATTGAGCACTGAACGGTGATTTTGCCAAATCTTGCTATGCACACTCACTATGAGTCTCCTCCCCCCAGGATTTTACTGACCTTTGTTCTATCAGAACCCCAATCTGACCGTTACCCTTGGCGCACAGTCTACCTAGCTTGATTCCTCAAGGAGCCCATTCTCCGAATGAACCCTGGGTCATAAAATAACCAATTGCACTGGGTTTGTGCAACAAAGTACAATGCAAAGAAGAAAAAAATCTGAGACTAACCAAGCTCGGCATATTATTCAGCTGGAACCACTGGATTTTTGACTGACTTGCAAACATGGTCTGTGAATTAGAGTGCGGTTCTCTGGGGCTCCCAGTAATGCCAAAGGATTAACCAGGATTATCCATCCTGACATCTAGGAGTGGCCAAAATACTGATTACACTGGGGATCGAATTTTACTTTACAGTACTAATCTTGGGATAATATTTTTATGGTGTCCAGCAGTATGTGGTTAGGGGAACAGTCTGTTTGTGAGGCGGTCCTGACTTGTAAACTTTTGTCTTTTTTTTAAATTTTCCTTCAGGGTTATTTAAAGCAGTGTCGGAAGAGAAGAGACATGTTCAGTGATGAGCAGCTGAAGATCATCTTTGGCAACATTGAAGACATCTACAGGTTTCAGATGGGCTTTGTAAGGGACTTGGAGAAGCAGTACAACAATGAGGACCCTCATCTCAGTGAAATAGGACCATGTTTTCTAGAGCATGTAAGTTTTTCAGAGAGGAAGGAAGTCGATGGGAGAGATCTTCAGTTTAGCTTGATTATCTTTGCAAAGTTGGGTTGTTGGGAAGTAGTGGGATTCAAATATGGGAACAACCGGTTCTCTGTGTGGGATGCCGCTTCTGGAAGTCCATTCTGGGCCTGGGCAACAAAAAATTAGCTACCGGCTCTGCCGAAGTGGTGCGAACCGGCTGGATCCCACCACTGTTGTTGGGCATCTTTTGCATGTTCCATAGGAGGAATTTCTACACAGCATCGGCTAGATTCTTGTTTCACGCACATTGTGGTTTCCTTAGCCATAATTTGTTAGATGAATCACAGTAGGTTGAGTGTTCACAATAAGTTTTCCTTGAAGTTCCACAGGGGTTTAAACAGCTGAGCCTGACCCTGATTTAGTTAGCTCCGGTGATGTGGGGCTACGTTGTCAAACACCAGATCTAATTTCCATAAGACATGGGTTTTTGTTTGCAAAGGATGGTTGTGGGGGTATGAATAATGAATGCTGACCACAGAAAGTGAGCTAATGAAGAATAAACATCATCTGTCCGTACCTATAATCTGAAGATCCTGTTTTCTGATTACTTGCTAGGAAGTTGCTTCTGCAGTGCACCAAAGTATTTATTCTCCACTTACAGAAGATAGCAGCGGTTCTGATGGCCCCTTTTTTTTCTCCTTTTCATCCTCCTGTTTTAGGGCGATCCACCTAACGGAAATTACAGGGTAGAGATTCTGCCTGAAAATGGGTTGCGGTAAATTAGAGCAACTAACCAAAGAGATTTTAACCAGCAGGGCGCTAGGAGTTAATACCGTATCTGGTACTGTTGTTATTAAAGGGTTCCCATCAATTTGCTCGTATCCGTGGATACATTGAGTCATCTTCTACCCAATCTGGCCAACAAGCATTTATCAGTGTTGCTGTAAATGGTTGATTCTGCTTTTTTTCAAACCTCCATTTGGCTCAGGCTCACTGTTTCACCTTGGCTGGGGAATTCTGGGAGATGAAGTCCAACATTTTAAAAGTTTCCAAGGTTGAGAAACAAGGTACCAGACTAGAAATCAGAAGACTTGAACGACAGAGTTGGAATGGACCTTGGAAGTCTTCTAGTCCAACCTCCTGCTCAAACAGGAGACCCTAGACCATTCCAGATAAGTTGACTGTCCAGTTTCTTCTTGAAAACTTCCAGTGTTGGAGCATTCAGAACTTCTGAAGGCAACCTGTTCCACTGGTTAATTGTACTCACTATTAGGAAATTTCTCCTTAGTTCTAGGTTGCTTCTCTCCTTGATTAGTTTCCATCTGTTGGTTCTTGTCCTGCCTTCAGGCGCTTTGGAGAATAGCTTGACTCCTTCTTCTTTGGGGCAGCCCTGAGATATTGGAACACTGCCATCATGTCCCCCCTCGTCCTTCTCTTCGTTAAACTAGACATACCCAATTCCAGCAACCGTTCCTTATATGTTTTAGCCTCCAGTCCCCTAATCATCTTTGTTGCTCTTCTCTGCACTCTTTCTAGAGTCTCAACATCTTTTTTTACATCGTGATGACCAGAACTGGATGCAGTATTCCATGAGTGGCCTTACCAAGGCGTTGTAAAGTCATATTAACACTTTACTGTGAGAATAACCTTGAGAGACAGGAGAAAGAGCTGCAGCCTAGACAACTGTCAGATAAACAAAACCTGAGTTCAAATCAGAAATGTAATTTGAGAAAGCATCTCTTTTCTCATTCACTGGAACATAAAGGCAGGGAGGGAAGAGGTACATTCAGGTTTCGATTACTGTAAAGCGGTGTTTTTTTAACCACCGTCCCTTTAAGATGGAATTCTGGGAGTTGAAGTCTGCCCATCTTAAAGGGGCGGTGGTTGAAAAAACACCACTGTTAACTTTACAATAAAAGTAGCATTTGTATTGATGATTTTGGTTTCCTGGCCTGGGCTATCTCAAAGGGCCAACACAGGGTGACTTTGGGTGAGTTATTCTCGCAGCTCTAAGAAGGCTAGCCAAATCACTTCTGAAAACTGTAGAGATTGATCCAGGCAGTGACCTGGAGGCAAGATGGACTCAGAAGCTTGAAAGAAAACAAAAATATAACCCACGCGTGAGGAACAGGATGTTTTTGCTGACTGAAATGGCACTCACGGACTCTCTGCCGTTGCCGGTTACATAAATACCATTTTACAGGGCTGATGGGATTGTAGATATATCCAGAAATGTCAAGAAAATCATGCAATGTAGCTTCTGTAGCATCTCCTTTGGGGAAGAAGCAGCTCTAAGATGGTGCTTATGTAAGAAAATGCCACTTATCCAGGACGCTGGATCCTTTGAAGCGTAACCGAGTTGCTTTTGGTGTCAACTCAAACCAGGCTTCCTTTCATACCAGGAAAGCTTTGGAGAATGTTAGAGAAACGCATTGCAATTGCTGATGATTCCTCTACAGGATGCCGGTAAAACCCTTCTCAGCGTCATGTGTCATAATGCCTTAGACTACCGATCCACTTTGTTGGCTCACTTTCATTCATAAATTGTCTTTAGCGCAATGACTGGAGTTATGAACAGGCTCTGGGAAAAAAAGGAAAGGAAACAAACCATAACTGCCACAATCCATCTGGGGTTGTCACAATTTTGCCCCAAGGATGTTTCTTGCCACCTAGTTTAACTTCAGCTATCTGTTTCCAAAATAGGAAGATAAAGAAATTGCATTTGCCAATGAGATTTGGGGGAGGGGGACACCGGCATTGGTATTTGATGGGAGAAACGAGCCCGTTAAAGGGATGGTCCCATGTGATGGGCCTCTCCGAGGAATCGGATTCTGAATTACAGGAGCAGTGGGGTGGAATGTGGTCTGGATTTCCAGGAGGGAGGTGCTGCATTCCAGAGGACCAAGAGACAGTGAAGTTTAGATAGTTTGGCTGGGAGGAAGAGAATTAAGATGGCTCCTCCCTAGAAGTACTCAGGGTACAGATAGTCCTTGACTTACAACAGTTCATTTAGTGACCATTCAAAGTTATAACAGCACTGAAAAAGCGACTTATGACCGTTTTTCATTGACCATTGCAGCCTCCCCGTGGTCATATGATCAAAATTCAGATGCCTGGCAACTGACTCATATTTATGACGGTTGCGGTGTCCCAGGGTGATGTGATCCCCTTTTGTGACCTTCTGACATGCAAAATCAATGGCGAAGCCAGATTCACTTAATAGCCATGTTACTAACTTAAGGACTGCAGTGAGTCGCTTAACAAGCGTGGCAAGAAAAGTCGTAAAATGGGGCAAAATTCACCTAGCAACTGTCTCGCTTAGCAACAGAAATGTTGGGCTCAAGTGTGACCATAAGTTGAGGACCACCTGATGCAAGTAGTTTTTTTACCCATAAAGGAGAATATTTGGAGCTCAGAATTGAAATTAGAGGTCATTACCCAACTAGGTAACATCATGACTGGCACTGATGATATTATCTAATTTGGATAGTGAAACATCTGCAAGAAAACAACCAAGCTCAGAGAGCACCGAGGAGCCCACAGTTCTCCTCCTCCTCTTCCTCTTCCTCCCTCCTCTTGCTCCTCCTCCTCCCCTCCTCTTGCTCCTCTTCCTTCTCCCCTCCTCCTCCTCTTGCTCCTCTTCCTTCTCCTCTTGCTCCTCCTCCCTCTTGCTCCTCCTCCCCTCCTCCTCTTTGTCTTCCCTCCTCCTCTTCCTCCTCCTCCTCCTCCCCTCCTCTTCTCCTTTTCCTTCTCCTCCTCTTCTTCTCTTCCTCTTCTTCCTCTTCCTCCTCTTCCTCCTCCTTTTCCTTCCCCCCTCCTCCTCCTCCTCTTTCTTCTCCTCTTCCTCCTCCTCCTCCTCCTTCTCTTCCTCTTCCTCCCTCCTCCTCTTCTTCGTCCTCCTCCTCTTCTTCCTCCTCTTCCTCCTCCATTTCCTTCTCCCCTCCTCTTCTTCCTTTTTCTTCTCCTCTTTCTCCTCCTTCTGGTCTTTCTTTTCCTCCCTCCCTCCTCCTCTTCCTCCTTTTCCTTCTCCTCCTCCCTAGTAGCTCCACTCCCTTCTCACACAAACGATCTGACCCATTCTGCAAGAAAACAACCAAGCTCAGAGAGCACCTCGTAGTTGTTTCAGTTTGGCAAGATTTCAGTGTACTGGCGAAGAACCATCAAGGGAAGCTCTCCGAACTCCCCGTGTCTGTCCTGGTTTTGAGAGCCTGACAAGCAGGGTCTGACAGATGCTGATCTTGCAAGCCAGCGGGCCTTTGGGCATGTGCAGAGAGAACTCAGAAAGAGCACGACTTCTCCATTCAGCTCTGATCCCGGCATCTTGGCTTCCCCTGCAGGGAATCCCTCTTCCTCAAGCAGGCCTCTCTTTTTTTCTGGCGCTTTCCAGAGCTCTTGCACTGTGGTGAGATTTATCACCCCCACAAAGGATTCTGATCTGAGTCTGACCTCCTGCACTCATAATTGCTGGCACGGGAGAGATTGCCAACCGCCCGAAAAGGAGCCTCCGCCTCTTTGCTGCAGCCCTCAGCAGGGAGCAGTTACTAGCTGGGATCGAAGGACGGGAAACTGACTGCAATTGGCAGTACAGGCTGCAACGCCGGGTCTTAGGCATCTTATCTCCACACAGGTCACCCACAGGACCAGAATTCCCACTGCTAAACAAGGAGGTTGCTAAGTGACCCGTGCCCAGTTTTATGATACTTTTCTTTTTTCCCGCCAGAGTCATTAAGTGAATCACTGCCTGTGCTGGTCAGAGTATATAGCTATCTGGTCAGAGTATATAGCTAGCTTAGGAATTAAGAACTGACCCCTTAAGGGAAACTCTTCTGGGTAATGTAGTTTATGTTACCTGGTCATATCTCCCTTTGAGGAGCACCCGGAGGCTTCAACTGGTCCAGAACGTGGCCGCGCGGGCGGTGTTGGGAGGGACTCGTCACTCCCATGTAACACCGCTGTTGCGCGAGCTGCACTGGTTGCCAGTGGCCTTCCGGGTGCGCTTTAAGGTGTTAGTTACCACCTTTAAAGCGCTCCATGGCATAGGACCTGGCTACCTCCGAGACCGCCTTCTGCCACAGATTCCCTCCCATAGACCGGTACGCTCCCACAGAGTGGGTCTCCTCAGGGTGCCGTTGGCCAAGCAGTGTCGGCTGGCGACCCCCAGGGGGAGGGCCTTCTCTGTGGGTGCCCCCGCCCTCTGGAACGAACTACCCCCCCAGATCCGGGTGATTCCGGATCTCCTGACTTTCCGCCGCGCCCTCAAGACATGGCTTTTCCAGCAAGCGGGCCTGGCCTAGGGTGGATTTTAAATCGGGTTTATTTTTAGAAAATTTTAAATGTCACAACTTAAAATATTTGGGTTTTAATTGGTTTTATTCGGCGGGGATTGTGGGTTTGTTTCTGTTTTAAAAAATGTTGTGAGCCGCCCTGAGTCCTTCGGGAGAAGGGCGGGATACAAATTGAATAAAATGAAATGAAATGAATCTGTGTTCGGACTGGCCACTGGGAGGGACTTCTGTTTTATTACGGGATATCCTGGTTACGTGCCAGCCAGTGAGGTCTCTATGAAGTGCAGCCCTGAGGACTGTTTGCTTCATTAGTATGGAAGAAGCTATTCTTTTTTAAACCTATGTGATGGGTAAAGACTATGCAGGAATGTCAGATGTATCTTCAATAACTGTAAGTTAATATTTTGAGAATTCCGGATGGATTAAAGTAGTCTGCATGAAAACCCTTCCATGGAGTTAATCTGCCTGCATCAAGCAATAGCCAGCAAACCCCTTGCTTGATACAGGACACTGCCGTTGTTAAGCAAATCATGTGATCGTTAAGTTCATCCAGCTTTCCCCTTTCGACGGGGAAGGTCACAAATGGCGATCACATTGTAAATACAGGTAGTCCTCAGCTTACCGACCACAGCTGAGCCCAAAAACAGTTGTGAAATGAGTTTGGCCCCATTTGACGACCTTTCTTGCCACCGTTGTTAAGTGAATCACTGCAGTTGTCCAATTAGTCAAACCGTTGTGAAGTGAATCTGGCTTCCCCATTGACTTTGCTTGTCAGAGGTTTGCAAAAGGGGAAATCACGTGACCCCGGGACACCGCAAAACTGTCATAAATATGAGTCAGTGGCCAAGCGTCTGAATGTTGATCACATGGCCAGGGGGACGCTTACAGTGGCCGTGAGTATGAAACCTCGGTTGTAAGTCACTTTTTTCCAGTGCCGTTGTAACTTTGAACGGTCACTAAATGAACTTTTGTTAAGTCACCTACCACTTGCCAAGGAACTGTGAGGATTGCTGCAAAGCATGTCATTGCAGGATCTGTTCATCAGTCATTTTTTTCCAGTGCCGTTGTAACTCTGAATGGCCATTAAACAAATGGCTATAAGCTGAGGACTGTCTGTTCTTGAGGAAGGGGACGGTCCTCCTTGGTCCTAACCAAGGAGAGAAGCAACCTAGAAGTAAGGAGAAATTTCCTGACAGGGAGAACAATTACCAGTGGAACAACCTGCCTCCAGATGTTGTGAATGCTTTGTCATTGGAAGTTTTTAAGAAGAGACTGGACTTGTCTGAAATTTTACAGGGTCTCCTGCTTGAGCAGGGGGGTGGATTAGAACAGGGCTTTTCAACATTTTCACCCATTGTACCACTTTTAGGATATGGCAATATCCGAGTACCACCAGTCGCCTAGCAAGGTGTCAAAAAATTGATGACCCCACCCCCCAAAAAGGAAAAAAGTGATAAAGTACAGGTAGTCCTCGACTTACAACAGTTTGCTTAGTGACTGTTCGAAGTTACAATGGCACTGAAAAACGTGCCCCTCAAGGCACAGCTGAGCAAGACTCCTGCCTGTGGCGCTCTTCCTCCTGTTCGAGGTTTTCATTGTTGTGAGCATTTCTGTTGAGGATTGGCAGCGGAGTGGGGTGGGGGGTGTTTGGTTTTTATTCCCCCCGTCTACTGGGTGGTTGCAGCAGGTTTTGGTCACTTCACATGACCCTGGGACACTGTGACCGTCATAAATATGAATCAGTTGCCAAGCATCTGAATGTAAATCACAAGACCCTGGAGATGCTGCAACACTTCAGCTGATCGGCGCTTCTTCTGGGCTCAGCAGAAGCACCAGGATCAGTGCTGCTTTCCAGCTGATTGGCGCTTCTTCTGGGCTCAGCAGAAGCGCCAGGATCAGTGCCGCTTTCCAGCTGATTGGTGCTTCTTCCGGGCTCAGCAGAAGCACCAGGATCAGCGCCGAGCTCCAGGTGGAGCCTGGCGCTGATCCTGGTGCTTCCGCTGAGCCCTGACAGCCCCGAAGAAGCGCCGATCAGCTGGAAAGCGGTACTGATCCTGGCACTTCCGCTGAGCCCTGATAGTCCTGCAGCTCCAGCCATTTCTCACTCAGGCTTGTGCGGTGCTGCCACCGGTTCAGCTCATTCCCCTCCCCTGCTACCACTTTTCTAGGATGGTCGCGTACCACCTGCCAGGTGCCAGTGTACCACAGGTGGTACCCGTACCACTGGTTGAAAAGCCCTGGACTAGAAGACCTCCAAGGTCCCTTCCAGCTCTATTTTGATTGAAAGTGGCCTCTACGACTCTCAGAAAGCTAAGGGCCAGACCTCAAGAATGCTAACGACCAGATGACTGCAAAGAATATAAATCTATTTCCCATTATCAGTTAGAACTGAAGAAGCTTCTTGGATGAGAAATGAAACATTTAAAAAAAAAGAAAAAAAAAGAAAACTAAGGAAGTCCAATTGGCTTTTGGAAAAAAAACACCTTGGGATATCCATGACCTGGATGATGACACTTGATTATTTCTTGATGACCCTTGATTGACAGTATTCAGTTGTGGGTGCCACACTTTCAGAAGGATTCAGACGAAGTGACTCAGTTGGATTGTTGGGACATCCATGACCTGGATGATCTTGATTATCTCTTGATGATCCTTGATTGAGAGTATTCAGTTGTGGGTGCCACACTTTCAGAAGGATTCAGGCGAAGTGGCTCAGTTGGATTGTGGGGTCTGAGATACGTTTGGCCTGGAGAAAAAATAACAGAAGGGTATTAATATAGCATTCTTGAGTTGCTGAAAGAGTTCAAAGTTAGAAGAAGATCTAACTTCTGCCCCTCATTAAATGCAGGATATGGCGTAACCTTCTGACATTCCAGAGGGTGGACTAATCAAGGAGTGAAGCAACTTAGAATTAAGGGGAAATTTCCTGACAATGAGAACAATGAACCAGTGGGATGGCTTGCCTTCAGAGGTTGAGGGTGCTCCATTACTGGAGGTTTTCGAGAAGAGATTGGGCAGCTATTTGTCTGAGATGGCATAGGGTCTTCTGCTTGAGCAGGGGGTTGGACTAGAAGACCTCCAAGGTTCCTACCAACTCTGTTATTCTGCGTCTGGTTGAACGTTAGGAAAACCACCCAACAAGAGAAGCTTTACAGAGGGACCAAAGACCCAGTAAGATTTCAGGTTTCCATTCCTGGAGATGTTCAAGCATAGGCTGGAGAGTTCTCTGTCTGGAATGCTTTTAATTTAGATTCCTGCTCTAGGCATGGGGTTGGACATCACAGTCCCAATGGTCTTTTCCAGTTGTGGTTTTTGTCAACCTCTTTGTTGTGATTAAAATCTGCCCTGTAGCTACTTCTTTATGAGACGTCTCACCCTCCCTTTCTGCTTTCCTCTCTCTGTAGCAAGATGGATTCTGGATCTACTCGGAGTACTGTAATAACCACTTGGATGCATGCATGGAGCTTTCCAAATTAATGAAAGACGGCAGGTACCAGCACTTCTTCGAAGCTTGCCGTCTCTTGCAGCAGATGATTGACATCGCCATAGATGGTTTCCTGTTGACCCCTGTCCAGAAGATCTGCAAGTACCCTCTGCAGCTTGCAGAACTGCTCAAGTACACGGCACAGGATCACAGGTAGGTGGGTGGGTGGGTGGGTGGAGGAGGTAGGCTTGGATTCAGGGCTGGGAGGAGCAGCAGGAGATCTTCTGGGACTGTTGGAGATGGACCCTTTTAGTTCAAGCCCTTTCTATCACCAGGCCAAGGATCAGACCACTTCTTATCTCTGTCTTGGAAGGTAGCCTCTCTGCCTTTCATTGCAGATTTGCCCAATTCAGGCAGGGCAGGAAGTTTACTTGTCCACTTTCTTTTCCAAGATGGCAAAACTTTTATTTATTATTATTATTATGGATCATTGCACAGTCAGCCAGATGTTCAGACTGGATTTGGCATTTTTGTCTACCTATCAAGTCCTTCCCAAGGACCTGGGATAGGCAGATGTGGATGTTTGATGTTATTACAGATATCGTGGCAGGATGGAAGCAGTTCCTAGTAAGGCCACCTTTTGCAATTGACTAATGGCGAATTTGTCAATGCCAATGATGGTGTTCAAGTGGTGCTCCAGTTGTTTTGGGATTGCACCCAAGGCACCTATTACTATTGGTACTACCCATGCTTGCTTTTGCCACAGTCTTTCTATTTCTATTTGTAGGTCTTTGTATTTTGTTATCTTTTCCAGTTCTTTCTCGTCTATTCTGCTGTCTCCAGGCACTGCCACGTCCACTATCCAGGCTTTTTTGTCTTTCTTATCGACAATTGTTAAGTCCGGGGTGTTATGTTGCAGGTGCTTGTCTGTTTGAATTCTGAAGTCCCAGAGCAATTTAATTTTATCATTTTCTATGACTTTCTCTATTTTATGATCCCACCAGTTCTTGCTTACAGGCAAATGATATTTCTTGCAGATCTTCCAATGCACCATTGTTGCTACTTTGTCATGCCGCTGCTTGTAGTCAGTCTGTGCGATCTTCTTGCAGCAGCTTACCAGGTGGTCCACTGTTTCTTCAGCGTCTTTGCATAGGCGGCACTTACTGTCTGTTGCTGTCTTCTCAATTTTGACTTTATATGCATTTGTCCTTAAGGCTTCTTGCTGTTGTTGTTGTTGTTATTTTGTTTTTGTTTTTGTTATTATTAATAATATAATTAATTTAATAATTAATTTAATAATTACTTTAATTTAATTTACACTTCAAAGATCAGCCTCCCTTTGGGCAGGCAGCTGCTTATAGGGACAGAATCTCCCCCTGACATCAGCTGGTGAGAGTCTCTTTATTTCCTAGCCCATTAGCCATCCTTTTTATATTCCAGCCATCTAAATTAGACTCTGCAAGATGCCATCTGGGTGGGAAGGCAGACTTCTGGTCCTTGAAACTCAGGGTTAGCGTGGCACTGTTTGGCCAGGAGCCTGGTCCTCCGGCGAAATCATTAAGGAAAAGCTACGGTTCCCCTCCAGGGAACCGTTCCATAGCATTAATCCATCGGCCTCAGCAAACATCCCTGGCCATTTCTCATCTGTCATTTGCTTGTTGAGCTGGAGCCGTCGGGCTTCTGTCTGCAAAACCTTGTTTTGTTAATGAGTGGATGGCAGGGGAGGGGAAGGCGGGTGTGTGTGTGTTTCAGCTCCATTCATAAACGACACCTCTAAAAAAAAAAAAACCTTAAAGAAAGGGAACACAGCCAGGACAGAGAGCATATGTGGCTGCCGTTGGAAAGAGGGATGCTGAACACAGAGGCTATCTCCTTCATTTAAAAATCTAGACATCAAGGATGTAGGAGGAGAGATGGCTCCGTTTCCGAAAGGCAGATGTTTGGCAGTATGTGTGTGTGTGTTTGTGTGCCTCTGTGTGTGTGTGTGTCAGAGATGAAGATCAGCTGCTTTTGGCCCCAGTCAGCAGTCCAGTCTGGCTGAAACAGCTTGCCTTCAGACGTTGTGGATGCTCCATCACTGGAGGCTTTCAAAAAGAGACAGGACAACCATTTGTCTGGAATGGTATAGGGTAGGGGTCTTCAAACTTGGCCCTTTTATGACTTGTGGACTTCAACTCCCAGAATTCCTCAGCCAGGCACACGTGCCTGGCTGAGGAATTCTGGGAGCTGAAGTCCACAAGACATAAAAGGGCCAAGTTTGAAGACACCTGGTATAGGGTGAGGGTGGAGGCGTGTTCTCCAAGTTTGTGGGTTGGTTTTCTGAATGTTGTGTGACCAAGCCAGGCAACATCTTCAGTGGAATTTAGGGAATATCAGTGTTGGTCTTCTTCTGCTTATAAGGGCTTTGTGTGGTCAGTAGGTCTTGTGATGGGAAGGTCCCGGCAGGTGAGGGTCTTGTGATGGGGAGACCTTTATGAAGATTTATTGTAAGCTTAAGCTCTCTACAAGAACCTGAGCTACTACCATTGAAGGGAAATTAGTGGGAATTAAGAATAGAAAGGAATTGAAGGTGGGCTGGACTTAAATCTCTTGTGGGCATGCAGAGACTCATGACTGATGATGCATTTGACCCCTCCCTCCAGCTCAGCCTGGTCGTCTCCTATAGAATCTGCATTCATTTTATTCCCACAAAAATAACTTGGTCATCCCCAGGTAATCCAGCGATAGTAATTCCCACTATAGTTGACAATGGATTTCGATGCAGCTCTCCCACTCATGATCCATAACTTTAACCACTCCACCTGGCTCAGCTTGATGGCTTGATTTGGGGGAAGGGAGATGACTTTCCATGTTAAATGAATCTAGAAACTGTGATTTGTAAACCCTGGGTTCCGACTTGGACTATATGAAGCCAGCACTGATTTCCTAACTGCTGGTTATGATCTCTTTCAGTCTCTCTGTGTTTGGAAATCTGCTCTTGCCCTATCATCCTTCTTTCTTCCTTGTTCCTTTAAAAAAAAAATTTTTTTTATTTGTCTATGGGGATTCTTCATCATCCAGGTCATGGTTGTCCCAAAGGCAACAAGACTTTCTTGGGGTTTTTTTCTTTCAAAACGCTTCAGAGGAACTGAAGAAACTTCTTGGATGAGAAGTGAAATGTTTTTTTTAAAAAAACCCAACAACAACCAGAAAGTATAGTTGCATCCTGTCATACAGCATCACAGTCTGGTTTGGAAGCATCCCTGCTTCAGACAGGAAGGCGGTGCAGAGAGTGATGAGAATGGCTGAAAAGATTATTGGCAGCTCCCTCCCTCCCATCCAGGACATGGCACAGAAGCGTTGTTTGAAGCAGGGTCCGTAAGATTATCTGGGATGCTACACATCCTCTTCACGACCTGTTATCCTTGTTACCTTCTGGGAGGAGGGGGCTTTGTGGTATCCATAGCAGAACATCCAGATTCAGCCAGAGTTTCATTCCATACAGCATTAACCTTGTGAACTCTCAAGCTTCCTCCTTCCGTTATATATTCAAGATGGACAGTATTTAATATTTACTGTATTTGCTACGTATATGTAGGGATGTGGGTCTATACATATGTTGTTCATAGTATGTTTAGGTGTGCGTCATGTATGTGTTTCACTTTGAGAGCGGGCAACTAAATTTCATTTTTGATGTGTGCCGTTGTGCCCACAGTAAAAAAATGACAATAAAGGTTATCATCTTATCTTATCTTATCTTATCTTATCTTATCTTATCTCATCTCATCTCATCTCATCTCATCTCATCTCATCTCATCTCATCTTATCTTATTTTATCTTTTTGGAAAAGCACCTTTGGGACATAAATTTTATTTAAAGTTTTAAGGAGAAAAATAAAAAACAACACCCAATAATATAGAAGAAAGAAAACAAAGCAGAAAGAAAAAAAACCAAAGTGCAGGGGGGAAAAGAACACAAAAGAGCAGTAGTTTCTGTTCAGATTGTACAAAATTTGCGCCTTTCATTCCCTTTGCTTCTTCCACTCAGGGAGCACATGCTTCTGTGTGCAACAGCATTTTGAGTGGTGGCAACACAGCCAGAAATAACAAAGGAGTTTCTTGGCAGGAGCTGATGTGGCATTTTTCTGACATAATGCTGAGTGGGAACACACCAGGTGCTTGTGGGAGGCCCACAGCCAACCTCATGCTAAAAGGAGCAACTCTTTGAATGTGGAAATGTACACAAGCGCTCTCTGCCCAGGTTCCCCCATTGGGATCCTGTCGGAAACACTGAGGTGTTTGTCAAAGCTGTGAGAGGAGTAATGGCTCAGTAGCTAACCCATTTGAGAAAGGCAGTCTTTGGAAATTACCGTACTTGGAAACTCCCACATCTCTTCCTAGTTACTAAGTTATTTACTTAGTAGAGAAATTTCCTATGGATGAGAACAAACAACCAGTGGAATGGCTTGCCTTCAGAAGTTGTGGGTACCCCATCACTGGAGGCTTTCAAAAAGAGACTGGGCAGCTACTTGTCTGGAGTAGTATGGGCTCTCCTGCTTGAGCAGGAGGTTGGACTAGAAGGCCTCCAAGACTAGAGGTTATGTTAGTTTTCACTTGGGGTCCAGTGAATTTGCTTTCAGAGTAGCTCTGGCGATAGGTTCTTGGGTAGAGTTGGGTATTGTTGTCTCTTCACTTGCAGGCCAAATTTATGTTATGTGTGAATGTCCCGTCCTTTTTTGTGCAATCATTGTCCATCGGTTTGCATTCTCCTTGGCTTCTTTGTTTCCTTTTGAACCTCAAGAGAAAATGTCAGGATGAAAGTCCTCCCATAAAAGTATATGGTTGTGAGTGCTTCTTCAAGGACTTTCAGCCTAGTTTCCTGAAATGGGGTGGGTAGACTAAGTGAAATGTTGATAAAAAAAAATCAATCATATCTCAACAACCTACTGTTTTCTTTTTCCTCATTAGTGAGAAGCCAATATTATGCCCTGAGTTAATCATAAATTATGATGACACCAAGGAGGCAACTAGCTAGTCTCTCTCTCTCTCTCTCTCTGACTGAAATCAATGGTATGGTCTTGGAATGGAAAATATAGCAGACGGTAGAAATCAATACTATTGACTTTATTTTTGTGCAACAGATTGATTTTTTTCTGGCCCTGGCAAGGCTCGCACTCACACTTGTGCCCACACAGAGACACCCAGGCCATTGAATATGTGTTCATATACACATTACAGAGTTTAATTACCTGCATAACATTCTACCACGAGAACAAACATCAGTGGCGGGACTCAGAACAAAGAAAGTAGATCAATGTTATGTTAACTTCTTTGCCGTTTCTAAAAAAGATGTCTTCTCTTATGAAAGAGATTTTTTTGTGTTGGATCCAGTCTGAATCGGTCACTGGGACCGAAAGTTTATTCTTCTAAGCTTTTGGACTTGTGCTAGAACCCATCCTCAGGAACTTCTTTCTCTCCAGAATGTGTACACTTGGCTGTTCTATGCGTTGTATTTATGTGGGGCCTGGTTATGGGTGGCTTTAAGTTGTTAATTGGGGTGTTAATGGCTGGCTATTAAGTCTTAGTTATTGTTTCCTTGTGACGCCTAAGTATCTGATAAGCTGGTGATAAATCAGCACTCCTATTGACTGACAAGGGGACTCACTTCCCAGACTTCAATCATTTAATAATAATAATAATAATAATAATAATAATAACAACAACAACAACAATAATAACAACAACAACAACAACAACAACAACAATAATAATAATAATAATAATAATAATAATAATAATAATAATAATAATAATAATAATAATAATAAAGTTGGAAAGGACCTTGGAGGTCATCAAGTCCAACCCTCTGCTCAGGCAGGTAACCCTACACCATTTCGGACAGATGGCTGTCCAGTCTCTTCTTAAAAACGTCCAGTGTTGGAGCATTCACCGCTTCTGGAGGCAGGTTGTTCCATTGGTTAATTGTTCTAACTGTCAGGAAGTTTCTCCTTAGTTCTAAGTTGCTTCTCTCCTTGATCAGTTTCCATCCGTTGCTTCTTGTCCTGCCTTCAGGCGCCTTGGAGAATAGCTTGACTCCCTCTTCTTTGTGGCAGCCCCTGAGATACTGGAACGCTGCTATCATGTCCCCCGTTGTCCTTCTCTTCGTTAAACTAGACATACCCAATTTCAGCAACCGTTCCTTATATGTTTTAGCCTCCAGTCCCCTAATCATCTTTGTTGCTCTTCTCTGTACTCTTTCTAGAGTCTCAGCATCTTTTTTACATCGTGGTGACCAAAACTGGATGCAGTATTCCAAGTGTGGCCTTACCAAGGCCTTGTAAAGTGGTATTAATACTTCACGTGATCTTGATTCTATCCCTCTGTTA